AAAGAACTTATATATATTTTTTATGTAATGAGTAGTATTAATTATTATTATTTCAAAATCATAAAATAATATATTTTACGAAAACATATTTTTTATACGAAAATGTATATTTTAAAGACATAAAAAATATATTTTACATAAAATAAATACATAAAAATTGTTTGTAAAAATATATTTTTTTATAATACGACTAAAATACATTTTGTTTTATTAAAAAAAAATTAGGTAAAAAAATGTTTTTTAATTTATTTATTATTTAAATATTAACGGTTTCATTATTATATATATTAGCTTTAGGAACAAATAACCAACTGAGCATTCAGCTCAACTGGTTAAGGCTTTGGTGATAAAGGAAGTTGGAGGTCGTGAGTTTGAACCTATCCTCTTTCTTTCAGCAAATTAATTCATTTTTTCAAAGAATTTTCAAAAATGGTCCCTGTGGTTTATTAAATGTCACGAATTCAGTCCCTTTATACTTGAAAAGACGAAAATGCCCTTACAGATTCAGTCCCTAACGGCGTTTTACTAACGGTGTTAGCAAAAAGGGCCAACTTTGCAAATTTTACAAACCACAAGGACCATTTGCATCAAAAAAAATTAGCAGGGACTACCTTTGTGACTTTTGGCAAACCACAGGGATATTTTTGTAATTTTGTCTAATTTGAATTAACAGCCTTTACAAGGTTTGACTTAGATCCATGTAGCATTTTTCTTTAATCCATACCATCTTATTTGACTTCTTTCTTATTGTCTGCAATTTCAAAGGCTGTTTTTAATCAATCAATTGATTACTCTTTCAACTCATCTTCTTGTGTTTCAACAAACATATCTGGGTATCCATGTTGGGATTTGATGCATTGTAAAACAAATAAAGAAAACATATAATGAAATCGAAACAAACTTTCAAAAGTTTTAACCCCAATAAGCAGCCTAGTGGTGATCACTTGGGGTTAAACACCTACAAATGAGTGGATTTAATATTAGAATCCTACGATCTTCAACTTTGGGTGACTTATAGTTAATAAAACTACTTACTATCTTTTGAAACTCTTGCGTATACAAAAGAAGGTTTTAGATTATTCACATAATTATGCCACTACAAAGTTAATAAAAAAATATTATAGACTTAATTTATAAAGACCTTTCTCTCTCCTTTTTTGTTTATCTCTTGAATGCATAAACTTTACACTTAGTTATTTTACTTAATATAAATGTTTCTATAAAATATGTTAAAAATAACATGTTACACATGTGCAAAGTACTCAACTTTTTACAAATTATACTTTTAAGATAAAAGTTATTTTGCGAAACATGTAGTTTTTGCAAATCAAATTTCTGCAAAAAAAGAAAAAAAAAAGGATGGTGTTCTATCACCAAGTGACTGCCGGTTTAAGTAACTATCACATTGACCAAGCATATAATTAAGATGAACACTCGATAACATAACTTGATACCCGGTTTAAGTAACATAACTGGAAAAAAAATATGAAATTTAACATTTTGCAAAATGATTTATGAATTATGCTTATTTTGCAAAATGAAACTAGTGTGAGATATATATGTGAATTCCTTGATATATGAAACAAAATAAATGATTTAAAAAAAAAAAAACAAAAATGAAAATGTTAGAGATGGTTTGATCTTTTCAAATTCAAAATTTATGTTTGGTTTTTTTGGTAAGGTTTCGGGTCTTTTTTACAATTTTAGTTTTTTGCTTTCTCGCAGACTCTGTTAACCGTCAATAAGTTTGATATGAAAATATGCTATAATAGTTTCTAAAGATATTTATGTTGTATATTAAAGTTTAAACATTAAACATGATATTGAGAGTTTGTTAATGATAGAACCTTACAACCAAACAATTTTTTTCCATGAAAACAAGAAACAATACCGACAAATTGATGGTTTAGTAATTTCAAAAATATAAAGCCGAAAATTTCAGTTTGTTTTTTATTTTAATCAAAATTGAAACATTTTCATTACCTAGTAGTTAACAAACTATGATCTATGGAAATTATGTTGTATTAAAAAAACATGTTTTTTTAAGGATGGTTCTTGAAGAAAAATAATTACCAATGATTTTTCTGAAATTTATTAGAAATCTTAATGGTTTATTTGAAAAAACAAAAATAAAACAATGAATTTTTAGATAAAAGCTTGAAAATTCAATGATTTTTTTTCAAAAGCCGGGTTAGTAAAGATCCAGAAGGTTTGATCGGGTCACCATTTAAGTTTCCCCTTTTCTCTTCACGACACGCACACACATACACATACACTCCCTCTCTCTCTCTCTCTCTCTCTCTCTCTCTCTCTACAATGGAGCTTTGAATTGGATGTAACGGTACTAAAAATTACAGCGACAAATTTCCAGGATTCGGAGCTCACTGACAAAGGATTCCCTGTAAGTCAAATGTGTATGAACTCTTCTCTCTCCATTTCAATTTCATTTCACTCTCTCGAATTTCGCTTGTTTTAGGTGTGTGTTTTCTTCTCAAAGATGTTTGTTTTGATACGGCCGCTAGTTCCACCTAATTTAAACCTAGTTTTATGCTATACATCTGTTTCTTTATACTTCTTCTTACGAATTTACATATATTCTGAGCGATGAACGCTGCGAGGACATCAGTTATTATACATTACACCGGAAACAAAAACTCGGTTGTAATCTTTGAAAAGATGGAGTGATTTTGCTGTGGAAATCCAAATACGTATGATAATCTTTTCGTTTATTCTTGTTGAATCCTTTTCTTTTTTCTTTTCTAACTTCGCGAGTCGTAATTCACTGTTCACTAGATGGATGCATGTTTGGGGACTTCGATTTTATCGCTTCGAAACAGAATTCGAGCATTTTAGTGAGCTTTGATTCTGATTTCATATTTCGAAGTTAAATGCTCCAAACACCAATTCTCAGAAACGACTTGTGTGAAATTAGGGTTTATTTTTGGGTTTCGTGATGTTAAATCGGAGTCCTTATTTCTGTATTTATTGGTTCCCGCATATGTTTCTTCATTTATGCCCTGACACCAGGAAGTTAAGAAGCCATGGTTTCTTTGTGTAAGTTATAATTATTTTCTGTTGTCCAGCTTACATGTGATTGGCAATGAAGAGGAGTGTGCCTTATGCTCTAGATATTTCATCGGATGATGATGATGATGATGATAAACCTTCTCCATCCAATGGAATCAAAAATGTTTCTATTACCAAGCGCCCAAAAATCGAGCCTACACTTATCAATCCAATTCCTGCCAAAAAAGTAATAACCGAAGGTAATTTCTGTTCTCTGAAAACTTATAAGCTGATATGTCATGTCATATCATGTATGTTTTTGATGGATGCAGAATTACTGAGAAAAAGTGCAAAAATGTATCAAGAATACATGAAGGAGATTCCGATTCCGGCACAACATCGGTCAATCATTCCATTCAAGTCATGGACGGGATTAGCCAATTCCATGAAACAGATGTACCAGCAACCACTCCATTACTTGACCAACATTCGAATGAAAGAATGGGATGAAATGAGAGATGGTGATCCTCTGCGATTGGACTCCATGATTCATCCATGTAAAGCTGAAACAAACATCTGGCTCATTGAAGAAGTTCATAGGCTGACATCATCCCATCAGTTTATTGCTAAATTATGGATAGCTGATCCTATGTACTACACTTTTATTGATTCCGTTTTACCCCAGTTATGACACTCTCTAGACTCTCTAGCTTCTTAGTTTGCAGATTTACTTTAGAATCAATCTATGATGATGATGATGATGATGATGATGTTAGACTTTGCTTTTAAGAAATCTGTTTATGGTTGCCCATTTTTGTGTTTTACAGTAACATGATGGTTGATTCTGGTTTCAAAAAATTTTATATGATGTTACAAGACTTGTATACGTAACGTTTGCAAATTGCAATTGCATATCATATTGTAGAAATTGTGTTTAATTGTATAAAAACGTTTTCATCATTTTTTGAACAAGATTTGAAAGATCCTTTTACAATCTTTATCGTCTTTATACCTGGGTTTATTGGTTTCGATATTTTGATCACTTTTTTCAGCCAAACAAAAAAGAAACAAAAAAAACATTTTTAGCGGATAGAACCTTGAAAAACAAAAACTTAGGTCGGTGCTTCGGTTGAGATTGTTGAAAGAAACACATTACTGTTTGTTATTTCCTCTTAATTTTTAAGAGTTGTACCTTATCAAAAATTCAACAAATATTTTTTTCTTCTTCCTTTCTATTTCACACACCCACCTCCCTTTTTTCTCTTACTCCTCTCAGACCTCATAAAAATTTAAATCTTAAAAATTTATGTCAGATTTTAAAAATTAAGATTTTATGGATTCCCTAAAGTCTTATCCAAAAAAATGTCAAATGTTGCATCTATTATGTAAACAGAAAATGTTGTTCACATTTTAAAAAAACATTAAAAAAAACCGCAATAGATGAAAACTTATAACCCGGTTAAAACGAAAAGTTAGACAAGTGTTTTGGTTTAGGTATTATCCAAAAACTGGTCAAAATATTGTGTCATTTACACAATTAAACCCAAAAATTAAAACACATCTCTGAAGATAAACAGCCTTTCACTAATTTCTACACCAGGGAATATAAATGCTAATAGAATATGAATTCACAAGTAGTAAACATTACATCAAATTGCGTCTCATAAGTCATCATGGCATATAAAAAATATAATATATATGTATTGTAGTATCAAGGGAGAATCTCCCGGATTTGACAAAAAAAATATTATTGATTTTTATACTAGGTTGTTTTCCTCGGTAGAACAAAAACATCAACATGAGGACAGAACAGACAACAAATTGACATCTCAACTCTGCTACCTAAGGAAGCTTGTATATAATAATAACATATCATATCATACCATATAGAACACAAGTGCATAAAGAGAATAAGAAGGAAAAAAATAAAACAGCAGCAGAGCTTTCATGAGAGGTGTCCAGTAGTCTGAAGCAGCTGTTTGTTTTTTTTTTTTTTTTTTTTTAAGAAATTAATACTTTCAATATCTTCTTCATATACACAACCAGTGACCATAAAGCTAGCCCAGCCGATACGTAAAGTAAACCAACACCACTTGCTCCCAGAAACCCTACCTCCGTAAAACTGCATTTTTTTTTAGAAAAAAGAAATAATAATTTATTATTTTTTCATAAAACACCATTGTTTTAAAAAAGTACTATTAGAAAGTAAGCAACAGAAACAAAACGTGTCAGTTGTTTAACTTCTTATACTGCTTTTTTTTATTTAATACAATGTCGTTTTTTGTTGGAAAATAAATAAATGAAGAAATAGTTTGTTGCCTATTTATGACACTAACCCTTTATTTAAATATTAAAATATATTTTTATAAATGATTTATATACAAACCTGGGATCTCTAATTATGAGAAGAATGGTTAATGAAGTCATCTGTGTCGCTGTTTTCCATTTCCCCAAATTATTTACAGCAACAGCCTGAACATTATTCATTATTTTCCAGGATATTAGGAATAACAATAATAATAATAATAATAAATTAATTAGTTAATTAATTAAATATACCTCAGAAAGTTTACTACCCTGAGAAGCAGCCCATTCTCTAACTGCAGACATCGTTATCTGCAGTAGTAAATAAATAAAAGATCAAATGTAAAAAGTCAAATGCAAACAACCAAAGTTTATATAAACGTGAATTACATGATGGAAATGATTTATTTATATGCCTAATGAAGAATATATTATATATATAGTGGAAGAAATTAAAAAAAATTGGCATCTCATATTAATACATGTGCCATGTGCTAAAGTGGCAGTAGACATACGAATAATAGCCTAACCCGTAATTCCTTTAATATGCTAAAAGCCTCATCAATTAATTCAAAGAAAAGACAGAAGCAAGATATATGTTTCATATTCCAGTTTGGCAGCTTTGCCATTTTTATGTTTGGTAGCTTTCAGATAATGTTCAAATATCACATTTTCTAGTCAACATCTTCATTATTATTAAAATTGTGAGAAAATTTAATAGTGTATATCACTTCAAGGTTAGAAGCCTCTAGAAGAAGAAGGAACAATATGATTTCAAAAAAAAATACCTCTCTACCAATTACTGCAATTGATGGCACAGTTAATAACCAAGGCAATTCTCCAAGCATAGAAGCTTCCGGAGGTTTTGTACATAACAACACCAAGGTAGTAGCCACCATAAGCTGCACCAAATAATATTAAACAATCAAAACAAGATAAGATGACTGAAAGAGAAAAAAAAAAAAAAGAACAAAAGATACTACTTTATTGAAAGGGAACAACAAAGAAAATGAATATAGATTTTTTAAGTTGAAAGATACAATTGAGTAAAAAAGGAAGTACCTTATCAGCCACAGGGTCTAAAAATGCACCAAAGGCAGTTCCTAAGTTCATCTAAAATGAATCGAAGGAGAGAAATTAATTTACAGACAGAAGTTTGTTGGATCTTTCTCTAATATTTAAAAGAAAAATGCATACTTTTCGTGCAAGATATCCATCAAGCCAATCTGTAATTGCTGCAGCAATGAAGATGCCTGTGGTGGCAGTTGTCCCCAGCCGACTATTCATATAAAAAGCTATGAAATTCAAAAGGGGCATGTTAGTATCATCAAACTGTAGTGTGCAATACATGCAACAGGGATAATTGAATCATCCACCATAATGAACAAAATTCTAGATGTGAATTCATGTCAGTTTCAATGATAAGAGCAGGGAAAGCAGCTATAAGGAAGTCACAAACTCACAGTATGCATCCATATGAAGATTAGGTGCAGAAGGTAGCTTCTTCTGACATTCATAAGTTTCATTGATTAGCATGTCTAATAAACAACAACTCAAAGAAACCATTACCAAATGCTGCAGCTTAAACCATTTTCATCTTATACATTAAGCTGTTACAGCATTTTCATTTATGTGTAGAAAACAGGGAGAAACAGAAAAGTGGCTTCCCTAAGCAAGCACGATAGGTTCTCTAGAGTCTAGATATATAGTTCATATCACAAATTGGATCCAAATGGCATAAAACTAGAGTAAAAAAATCCAAGTACAGACTACATACATTATGAAATCTTAGCAGCATGTGAAATTAAATTTCACAATATATCGTGCTTGAATCAAGCCAAAAGGAGCCTAAAAGAACAAATGTGTAGAAACAAATCAATTACTTAACGTATGAATCTTAAAAGAAACCAAAAGATCTCCATCCAGTTCGCCTCATTTCCTCGCATCTATGACATTTTCCGTATCCATGAATTTATCTAATTGCATATATCAAACAACGTTCACAACTTGTCCACAATTATATGAAACATCTTAAAATCCATCGATCTTTGAGCAGAAATTGTGATGTTCTGCAATGTTAAAATTCATAAACATTCAGAGATAGGTGAGGGAGGACGTACTGCAAACGATAACAGGAATCGCCGCAACGCGTCCGATTGTTAAGATCGTAGGCAACGTGAGCAATTTAGTCGACGGATTCTGTTTAGACGGCGCCGATTTTAGGTGGCGGTGGTTGTCCGACGACAATGTAGACGTGACACCGGAGCCGCGGTCGTTCTCCGTTGCCCGTTTGTCATCTCTGTTATCATTGTTTACGGATCCCATACTCACTCTACCACCGTTAAATGCGTTTCCTCCTCCTTTATCTTTGGACGTATATCTCAAATTTTTCTGACCACGAAACCCTAGTCTGTTATTACTGTTATTATCGTTGCTATTATTATCGTGCGCTGGGGTCGCACAGGTTGTTGTCCTCCACCAGCTCGAGCACATCGGAGGTGGCGTCGTAGACCTCCCGGTGGCGATTGCGCGACCTAGCCACCAGTATTGACGCCGGTGGTGGAGGGGAATAGAAGATACGGTGGTGAGTTTGAGGAGGGTGAAGGGCATGGTGATGTGTGGGTGAGAGGGAAGATTAAATAGGATGCGCACCCGTCGCTTATGTTAGCACGAAATTTTTTCACGGGGCTTACGTTAGCAGTTTGGTGCTAATATCTCTCCTCCTGATTGAAGTCTCGAGTCTGCAAACACTCGTTCCCCGGCAAAGCATCTCTGTCACTCAAAGATCTCGTTTCTCTCTACACGATGTACCATCAACACAGCACCGGGTACAACTCTCAAAAGTATTTTCGTTTCTACTTTGCTTTAACTTTAATTTTACTAAAATAAACACACAAAAACAGGTGTAACTACAGTTTTGGTCCCTGTGGCATATACGATCTGTAGTTTTAGTACTAGTATTGAAAGTTTGACACTGGTGATCATTATGGTTGACAAATCCGTCGGTTTAGATCCTTGTCTCAGTTGCATATACGACTTGATTTTTTTAGAATTATGATTATTATTAAATAATAGGCCCCACCCTATACCACAACTACCACTTTTCTTTTCTAATTAACACCATCACTATCACAACGATATCCGACCAATCTAACCACTTTCTGCAATATTTGTCCAACCACACCACCCACCATCAGTTTTTGGTCAACCTCATTACCACCACCCACAGTTGTTCCTCGTTCTTAGTAGGAGGCAAGAGATATATAGTAGATCTAGTAGTTTCCGAGAGAGAGAGAGAGAGAGAGAGAGAGAGAGAGAGAGAGAGAGAGAGAGAGAGAGAGAGAGAGAGAGAGAGAGAGAGAGGCCACCATTCGGAAAGGTAGAGGATGCAATGGTAGGCGTATCTACCACCATAATGTAGAATTAGTGACGGTGACACACTTTTATCTAGTGAGGGATGCAATGGTAGAAGCAAGTATGGTAATGCAAGGAATGATGGTGATGTTGTTGTATTAAGGTGTCTAAGCTCATAACTAAATTGGTATCTTCTTCTAGTTGAAAGTAAAATCCTTTTTAGGTTGTCATCATAACTAGAACTTGATTAAAATGATATTTGTAAAGAGAGGATGATTTATTAGATTATTATATGATTAATAAACTAATTGAAAATTATGAAGAAATGATTTGTTAATATACTATATGATTGATGTATTAATTGGAATTAGATAGTCGATTTGGTAATTTATTATCTAATTAATAAATTAATATGAGATCAGCTGTTAAAATAATTGATTTGTTAGTTTATGTGGCTAATAAGTTAATATGACACCAGTTAGAGTTGATTAATTATTAATCAGAGTTAATTTGGAATTAACTTATGGTTAATTGAAATTAATTAAATGTGAAATTGGTGAATTGTAATTGTTCAATAGTTGAACAAAAGAGGCAATTCTAGAACCATCCAATGGTGGATGGTTTTGAGAGCTCTTTTATGGTTTCCAGAAGCCTCATAGGTGTTAATAAGGAAAATATTTGAATTGAAATTAAATTCATTATTTAATTAATTCATATTCGATTTTGTCTGCAAGTTACCTAAACTATATATAGGACCCCTTGAGCATTAAATTTCATGGCGACTCTTTCAAAGGAGCATATGGACGAAATTTATACCTCTCCTCAATTGTCTTTTAGTTTTAGGGTTTAGGTGTGAGCCGTTAGAGGCATCATCCTTTTGGTGCTAGCTTCCAAGCTCTTCAAAGGAAAGATTGAAGTAACTTGTTTGCTATAACAAGTTTGAGGTATGTAAACCCTTAACCTTACCTTCTAGTTTTCAAAATTGTTATGGTTTATATTAGATTTTGTTATTCAAAGTATGTTGCTTCAAAGTGAAAGACATAGATCTTCTTAGGTTGTGTGTGTCATTTTCTTAATTGTTAAGTGATTTTCCACATTGAACATTTTGTTGTAACCTAATAAACCCATCAGATGTGATGGTAACCAAAATTGGAGTTGTGGGTAGGTCGACATCACTATGTGGTGTAGACTAAAAATGTTGATTAGGGGGAAACAGAAAAGAGGCAAGAGAATAGCAATGAGAAAGGGCGTTGATGGAGCAAAGAGATGAGTTGTTTCTTCTTATTTTAAATGTTGGAACAATTTAAAGATATAATCCATCTAGATTATATCTTTTATACATTTAGTCCATAGCAATGGTCTTTTCATGTGTACTTAACGGACTTATACTGACACTAAACATAACAAATAGGACACATCATTGTTGATGTATTTGACAACCATGAAATTAGTGGTGTCAATTTTCCAAAACAATGACTAAACTTGTATATTCGCGTATCTATACCACATGGACCAAAACTATAATTAATCTAAAAAAAAAGTATAACCTCATGCGTGTGCGTGTAATATATATATATATATATATATATATATATATATATATATATATATATTAAGGTTTATTTTTAATGTTTATTTTATCATCTAACGATAAATTTTATATTAAAGTTTTCTACAAATATTATACACTAATAATAGTTGTTTACATATCGTGCATGCGATAATTATTTATTAGCTTGTAATGTGTACAAATCATGATTACCCAATTCAATGATTGTATTTATTTGATTACATGTATAATAATAATTATTATACTCTGAATGTCTAGCCCGGAATTATGAGCGTCACACTTTCCTTAAGATTTCATCTTAATACTTCATTCTCTCGATTTACAACAAGATTCTTATGAGTACTAACCTTAAAGGTTGGTAACCATTTATTTTCTCACTTATCCGGTAACACTACCTATTCTCACACTGTTATGGAATTCATTCCTCCTTCCATATCATTATTTAATCAATAAAATTTTCTTTTTTTACTATAACTTTTATCAACAATCACCTCATATATGTTCTCAATCACACTAATTCATTCTATAGCAATAAGGTGGTTAAGTTCTCAAAGTATTTAAAAGACACCTATCAAGTAATCAATAACAATCTATCTTGGACTTAATCACTACATAGTACATATTGAAAAACAATTCAACAATCAAAACATGAATCGGTTTACATTGATCCATTAATTAACACTTACCTTCTATAGAGGACTTCGCCTCAATAATATATTCTCATTCCGATATAGGATTATATAATACTATCTTACTAATGAGTTAAAAACTCACATGCGTTCGTTGTGCTACTCTGATCCTACATGTAACATCGTGATTTTTCACCCATTTTTTATTTTTAAAACATTTATTTAACATAATACGTTAGTGTAAGTCTTATTTAAAGTTTAAAGAAAACATCACCAATGTTACTTTTATTTTCAAAAACATCATTCATCAAAATAAAGTTCATAAACCAAATCAAAAACAAGTTCTCAAAAACAGGTATTATGAAAACTCCACGACATGTCTAAATGGTATCAATACTAAGACATAAAAGGGAATGTAACTACCCAAATCCCCCATCCTCACTAAGCCATCAAATGTTTGCTACTTGTACCAATGCAAGGCAACATCAAGCAAAGAAACAGGTATCAACAAATGCTAAGTGAGTCAACCATAAGTATAATATTAGGAAAACACACATAGCAAATCATCACATACATCTCATGCATCACATACTACACATACATCATACACACCATCTATATTACATACATCACATGTTCTTCACTAGAGTATCACTAGACTATCATTGCAAGAGGTTAGTCTTGGCTTGGAAGTGTTTTGCTATGAAGGACCTAGGAGAGGATGCTTATATTCAGGGGATAAGGATTTTGAGAGACGGGAGTAAAAGACTAATTGGACTTAGTCAAAGTACATACTTGGAAAAGGTGTTGAAATGCTTTAGTATGGAAAATTCCAAGAAAGGAGAACTGCCTATACAGAGTAATACCAAACTGAGTAAGACTCAGAGTCTGGGTACTGATGCAAATATAGCAGAAATGAGTGGCATTGGATCTATTGTGGCTTTTGAAAATATAACAAACTGAGTAAGACTCGTCCTAATGTGGCTTTTACTTTGAGCATGGTCAGTCGTTATTAGGGAAATCCAGGTAGAACTCATTAGATAGTAGTTAAGAATATTATTGTGTTTCAGTTGTTTATTATTGTGTTTCATTTTGCATGTTTACTTCCCGAATAATTCGATTATTCAAAACTCCACAGTCAATCATACTTTTGGAAGTAAGTAGTGAATTAAGACTGTCATGAACTAGATTGTAGATTGTATAAAGAGTTTTAAACAAAGCAATGGTCCACTGCAATGTTCATGAGTACTTTGAAATGGAGATTTAAATATTGGGTTAACCCACGCTCAGAGAATTACTTCATGGAATTTATCCCGATTAATTCTGATACGATAATATCTTATAATCTTGAGACGGAGATATATGAGTTATAGTTTAAGAATCAGTTGTGGGTTGATGATACGAAAACACATCAGTAACTTGATGTTATAAAACATATTGTTGTGCATGATTTGATGAGTAAATGGTGTAAGCATATAAGTCAAATTTTATTCATTCCTTTTTCCTTAACAGGAAAAGCGATATCTTTGGGCCCCTCGGTGATTTGGTGTTGACTTATAGTGTTGGGCCCGAACAGGACTTAAATGATGTGTTCGATTAGAAATTCTGTGTCATTACAAATCAGAAATCGGGTAACAAAGTATTAGCCAATGAGATTGATTATATTCCATGTCTCATATCTGAATGATATCTTACAGAACAAAGGATTATATGATCACTTAACTTATGATATGTAACTGACTGGGTCAAAGTTCGACAACGACTTTTGGAAGCTATAATTTGCTGAACAGTGTAGAAGTTATATTGACAATTATAGTTACAAGCTTATCCAAGTGGGAGACTGTTGGATTAGGTGTCTAAGCCTATAAATATAATTGGTATAAACTTGAATTGATAGTAACACATTCTTTTTGGGTTGCCCTCAAACCTAGCAATGGGCATGATATTTATGGGGAGAGAGATTAACTTATTATTTGATTAATAAATTGAAACAAATAATTGTTGATATATTATGGAAATAATATATTAATTAGAAATAGTAATATTTAATTGATATTTAATCAGAAATTAATTGAAATTAATTTGGTGATTAAAAGAATTAATTGAAGTGCAGGGACTGAAGTGCAATTTTTCAATAGTTAAACATGAGGCATTCTAGAACCCTCATTGAGGTTATGGACGGTTTTAAGGTGACATTAGGGTTTCTAGAATTATCCTTGGCAGATAATTAGGAAGTTGAATAATTACCCGGTTCAAGATAATATTATTATATTGAGTTTAGGCTTAACTAGGGTTTCCTAAAAGCATTATATAAAGGCCCATAGGGCTATAATTTTCGGCCACTCATACCTTAGAGGGTATAGGCCAAAATTATGATCTTCTTCCCCCTCTTTCCTCAATATCCTTCTTGCTTGTGTTGGGTGTGAACCA